TAAATGTATTAAGTCCTCTAACTGAATACGATTTGCTTGTGTGGAGGCTGTTGACTTCTTGGGCTATCTTTTATTTTACTGTAGAAAACAGTCTACAGTCCTACTAAAAGTGAACCTCTCGATCTCCCCCAGTTGGCTTTCGCAGAGCCTTGAGTCTTTCTCAGTGACGATCCTGTCGCTGTGGTGAAGCGTGACCGCCAGGAAGAACAGAGACCCACCTTTGTGTACTCATCCTTGGCCTTCGTGAGCATCTGTAAGATGTCCACTTCTCTACCCTCTCCTGAACTCAGGCGCACGGGGGAGGATCCTGCTCCAGCGCCATGACAGGCCTTCAGCTGTTCGCACTGAGTGAGGCTGCAACAGCGAGGGAAATGAAGATCAGAAACTAAAGTCAAAACCAACGCTCTCACTCCAGCTCTCTCCCCTCAGAGCCATCGCAGAAAGGCTGCTCAGGCTTTTGAAACAGAAAATGAGAGATGAGGTCTTGAGTCAACTGGCCACACAGGCAAATCCAGCGTAGGAGTGAGCAAGCTATGACTGGGGGTGACAGCCTGCCCCACCTGCTTCTGTGACGAGAACAGCAAACAGACTGCTCACTGTGGGACATGGCAGTCACAGCTGTTTCCACACTGCGGTAGCGGAGCTGCCACTGACCGTGGGAGAAACCTTACAAGAAACAAACATTCAGCAGGGATGACCAGCATGGCACAGATTCTCTTCCTCCCCAATACCTGGAGGTCAAGCAAGGTGGACTGGACCACCTCGTATCTTGCAGTTCTCTGGTAATTTGGAGGTACCACAAAGGTCCCATGCTAACACTGACCACATGGTCTTATGTGCTGCAGGAAAACATAAACAACAAACCAAAACCAAAACCCTCCTCTTTGCTTGCTTTGAATTTCAGCTCCAATTCTTTTGTTAAAGCCACGAAGTTAATTGTAAAGTAGGACCTGAGAAGCTACCGGGAGAGTTTATTCTAACTAGAAAAGGGATCTGAGTTCTCACGAATCAACTGCTCATTGCTGGTAAAAATCAATCATTTTCCTGCCTGAGCTGTTAGGCAGTCACTACAGATGCTACCAGCTTACCGTGACCTCTTGGCTGGGCGACAGGGTATTTTTTAATCCATATGAAATCCTGCTATTATTATCCCTTGAACAATTTACAACAACATGAAATGTTTAAGGAACTAGTTGTTATGGTGGTAAATACCAGTTTGAGCACACTTAATCACCATCTGGGACTTGAGCTGGTTGCCTAAAATTAGCTCTCACAAGCAAGAATTTCACAAGTCAATTTTATTTGTAAGAATGTGTTCCCTGGTTTTCAGTTTCTTGGTTGGGGGCGGGGAGGGTCATCTTTTCATCTCAGTGGGGAGGGGTCATCTTTTCATCTCAGTGGGGAGGGGTCATCTTTCCATTTCAATGCCCCTGGATTTAGGAGTGAATTCTAGTTCTTTGCAGACAGAGCACCACGCTCATGTGGGGGATCAGCTGCACTAGGCAGACACCCAGCTGCAAAAACTCACTTCATTCTGAGGCTCTTGGCCATTTGCATAAACAGCGGCAAAACTGAGCGGCCAAGTCCATAACTGGTCAGTCCGCCAGTCTCACCCTGGGTCTCCTTTAGATGCAAACTAGGGAAGCCAAGAGTAGGAAAGTCAGAAAGGATGCAGGAGAGTCTCAGAACCAGCAGGTGAGGAAGGGGTGGGAAGGGGTAGGGGGAGAGGGAGGGAGGGAGGGAGAGAGAGAGAGGGTGGGAGAAATGGTGTACTGATTACTAAACTAACACGGATTCTGACTTTCCCAGAGATGAGAACTTGGTCTTTGAGGCACTGGGGATTCTGAATTACAAACACAGTTTGGGAAGCTGTTAAAGAGCAGGAAGGAAGTGGAGGGCATTAAAGGCTTGGGGGCAGCCTTTCAGGACGACTCTGAATGTTCTTTTTATGGTTGGACACATCCAGAGAAAATACTACCTAGTGACAATTGAAGAAAACGCCATAGAAAACCTCCACATGGAACTAACCACTTCCAGCACGTGGGGAAGAATAATCAGGCACCTTATGCAGATGGTGGGCCTAGAATAGCAAGCACTGTCCAGTGATTGGGGGATCATGTTGAAGATGATGGCTGAGAAACACTTCCTGGTAAAGTTAGTGTTGCTTCACATACTTAGAAATATGAGTCAAAGCTCTGGGTACCAGGAAACACTTGGCCTTTTAATACTTACTTTTTCATCAATTTTGCAATTCTTTGGCACTCTTCCTTATCATAAAACCAAATTCCATAAATGGACACTGGAAAAAAAGAACACATGGAACAAGCCATAAGCATCTTCACAGTCACAGGATGAAGTTCCCTTTCTGTCTTAGAGGAAAATATATAATTAGCTATGCAATGAATTCATTCAATTTATTATTAAATAAATGAAACCAGTCATTGGAGTTCCATGTCAAAAAGAAAAGCATCTGTCCTGGAAGGCCGGTGAGTCTGTGCCCACACTGAAGCCTGCTTCCCTAACGTGCAGCCTCTGGCTCGACAGGCGGTTGGTAAGCACTGCTTACACAGTGGCTACAGATTGAGAACGAGATCAGGATTTCTAAACTTCTTGGCTTTGAGACTTCATTGTTTCTATATTCCATTTGCACATTTCACAAACACATTTCATCTTTATTTTTAAATATTCAGAAACCTGATGCTCAAATTATGCCTAGAAATCTCCTTCCCTCTCCGTCTTTAAAGAATATGTTAACTGAAAAATTGGCAGTGAGTTATTAGGATAGGGAACTAGAAAAATACATTTTAAAAATAAATTTCATTTTAAAATGGCCATGCAAAAACATCTGCAAATGTTGGAAAGTTAGGTGTGACTGTGGTGTGGTCATTCAGCAGCAAACAGAGACGCAGCATGACTGCAAATGATTCAGTTAGTAATTTTCCACAGAAGTTGTCTATTAAATTTAGTATGTATCTAGCGCCATCGTTTTTGTGGTGGAGGCTAACACAGTTGCAGGGCACACTTGTAAATATCTAGTTGAGGTCCTGGTCTTATAGGCAAATAATCATATAAATAATAGGCAAACTACATGGACATTAAAAAACTTCACTGAAAATAGCAGCAATATCATGATAGAGTAATGAAAATTAGCAAAACAGTATTTTAAAGAAAAACAAAAAATTTAAACTTTCAAAGCTTATATTTTATTTAAAGATAGCTATGATAGTCTAAGAACACCTTTTTTTTTTGCTCATTTATCTCACCAATGCCCAGACACGAGCTTTCTCCCTTAGGACAGCACTGATATAAATATCCAAAAGCACAGGAAATGTCTTTTTAAAGCTAGTTTAGGCATGTATCAAAAAGAAGCTTTATGAATGCCATCAATGACTTGACAAAGTCAGCACTGAGGCTTTAAACTTCATTTCTGAACTGATCAAGTACATGCAGAATCCTTTTAAAAGGTGTGTGTGTGTGTGTGTGTGTGTGCGCGCGCGCGCACACACACACACACACACACACACACACACACACACACACGCAAACACACGCATAGGCCAGAAAGGATGTCAGATCCATGGGAACTAGAGCTGCAGGTAGCTGAGCTTCCAGATGTGGGTGCTGGGAACCAGATCTGGCTTTCTTGAAAAGCAGAAAATGCTCTTATTATCCCTGAGCCATCACTCCACCGTGTATGCAGAACCTTGACCTCAGACACCTACATGTGGAAGGGACAAATGAAGATGAAACCCTAGGCTTTCTCAACCAGGTCACTCTCTGCAATGGAGACACACACACATCCATCCACAGCGCTATGACAAATCTAGGAAAAACGAGAACATCCATGTTCTCAATTCAATGTGCTCAGTGCTTTCACATCAAAATAAGACCTTAGCGTCAAGATTAAATGTTATTGTGCAAACTGAGATTTAAGGCTACTTCCCATCTACCAGAAGTCACTCCCCACTCAGAATCCCTAAAGACCCCTGTCCTCTTGTTCTTGGAAGGTCATGCTGGATCACTGACACTCGGTCCATGAGGATTCTACATGGATCACTAGCAGTCAGCCTGTGAGGAATCTACATGGATTGCACTGAGTCCCATGAACCTGACCTCTCTGTCTCTGTTGCAACAGGTGTGGTAGACCATTTGAACCGTCTGACCACAGTGAAATCTTTCCTTTTTGGGGGACTAAATTTTCCAAAATGGCAAGTCAGAAACTCACGGTACAATCAGAAACTAAAGCCCGGTGGCAGAGAAGGTGGCAATGTGTGTCTTCGTGGGAAACGATACTAACAAGCATTCCAGGTGCCACTCTTCCTCCTGTGTGACATCTGACATACAGAACTACAGTTCCATTAAGGGCAGGATGCCAGGGAAACTGCTGGCACGAACAAAAGCCTTCTGACATCTTCATTAGCATGAGATGCTGACACACAGGTTTAGGGCAGAAACACACCAAAAAACCCTCGAATGTTAAAGTGGAATGAGGGAAATCCCAGGGCTGTGATTTAGTACCTCATGGCGGTTAATCTATGAGGCAACATGGTTTTTACCATTCAACTGGGATCATCTGAAAAACTGTCTTTATCCAGTTAACGTTTAGCTTGAACATAGGTTTAAACAGGCAAGGGGAGGGGACGATAAAACACAAATTTCCCAGCATTCCTGGCTACTAAAAGGAGCACCAAGATAGAGGACTGGGCCTGTGCTTTCTTCTCCTTAAAATAGTTTTGCAGCTCAGCGGCACTGTGCATCCATGGAAGTGCACATTCCAGCTCCAGTTCTCCGCATCGTGGGCCCAGGCCTCCACCCCCACCAGGCCTATCACCCTTCCACACAAGAGGCTGTGCCAGACAGCTCATGGTGATACACAAAGACCAGGACTCGTCAGGCCTTCAGGAGGTGATGAGCTGACAGGCTGACAGAAGCCATTTGCCTCACATTTCCATCCAAGGGCTCCACCGGGGAAGGGCTTGTCTCTGCACAGGTCTGAAGGCAGCGGCACAGGCAGACCGAGGCCGCAGAGGAGAACCGCGAGAGGAGGCGCGCTTTCAGAATCCCAAACCTGAATGTTGAAGCCGGAGTTCACAGCAGAGCGCTAAGGCCCTGTGAGCTTTTATGGCCCTCCAAGGTGGCCACAGAAGTTGGTTCTGAGTTTTTAAAAAGTACAGGGGGAAAACTACAAGTGGGATAATTGTTTAGTCGTGAAAGTAGCGGCTAGCAGCCAACTGCAAGTCACAATGATTCGAGCCTTTGTTCAGCCGTCCACCCCCCCATACCAGCCACTTTCCAGTCACCAGTCTGAGAAAACGGAGGGGAAGTTCAAGGGCAAGGTGGTACGCGAAGCTCAACTCAACTGTTTCTACATCTCTCCTGGAGGTAAGAAAAGGGGAGCCTGCTGAGCATCCCCCTGAAACAGGACCTTAGAAGGCTCCCCAGCACGTGCTCTTGCCTGTCTATGCAATCCTTGGGTTTTGAGACCTCCCGCCGCACTGGGTGAGGGTGAGGTCTGCTTGGCACTGCCCTTTCCCCATGTCATGCTTGGACAATTCTCCACAGAAAACAGACTTTCTGGGGGTAAGATACCCGTCTCCTATATTCTTTCAGTTCCTTGAGAGAGACTGAGGAGTGCAAACCTTCCATATTCCAGCCCACGTCTGGGTTGTGTGGGCACATACAGACAAGGGTGAGCAAGCTGACTGAACTTGATAATGGCAACAATTCTTTAGTTTCTTCAGTAGGAACCCGGAAAGCCAATCGAGCGGCCATTAGAGGTGGTATCAGATGTCACTTCAGTGCCCACCCTCACCTGCACCCACTGACTCCCATTAGTACAGCACAGCAGTTCGCTCTGGATGAATGAGAATAGGACCCGCCTCATCCTGTTTATGCTCCTAATAAATGTTTTCATTTCATATGACCCTTTGAGACATTGACCATTTGTTCCCTATTTTATGCCAAGTATTTTTCAACTCAAAACCATTTAATAAGGATCAAGGCTGAGATTTTAGAAGAAAGCATATACCTATATAGCAAAGTGTATAAACAGGCGTTAAGAGATGTATAGCAGACTTTAAATGGGAGGTCTGGTTTTACTATGCTTTCTCACCTGCAAGCCTCCTCCTTTTCCGTCTCTCCTTCCTTCCTTCCTTCCTTCCTCCCTCCCTCCCTCCCTCCTTCCTTTTCCCTTTTCCCTTACTCCTGTAAAAGGGCCGGGCCATTCATTTGACTTTGAACGCTCTCAGTTCTCTCTACTGGGAACCTGGCAGACATCAGATCTGCAAACGAGGGGCATTTGAGCATAACTCAAAACAATGTGAATCTCTCAGACCCCACTACGTCTGGTCTTCCTCAAATGAGTAGAGTAGTAGTAATCTCTAGCCCAGTGTATAACTGGTGTAAACACTTGTTTAGTGGACTTTGTTCAAATACAGTATTTTTTTTTTTTTTAATTTACTGTCTCATTTACCCAGTTCGAGCTGTTGTTTGTTTGGCCATGCTGAAGTTTACTTCCGAGAGGCTGGAGGAAGCACACACATAGTACCCACCCTTCTGAAAGTCTTAACACGTTTTAGAGAAGGAGAGACAGCTACTAGGAGTGTGCAGCTCAGGGACTCCCCTCACAGGAGCCTCTGTGGCAACACAAGACTCATGAGCCAACCAAAGGATTTTTGCGTTGAACTTATATTGTCTAGAATATGCCCAACGGACCTCCAAATTTGATACACAAAGTCTCAAGAAACGTTTACATGCTTTGATCTGACGTCTAAGCTTGCCTAGGAAAGACTGGAATCAGTCTGTGTTTGGGCTTCTTCTCATTTGATAACATTTTGTTTATTTGTGTGTACATGTGTGCGGGAGGTCAGAGGACAACCAGCCAGGGAAGGGACTCGGGTCAGCAGCCTGGACAGCAGCAGCTCCTTTACCCATGGAGCCAGCGCTTTGCTCTGAGACAGGGCTTCGCTTTGTAGCTACGGCTGGAAAGCTACTCACTGCGCAGTCCAGGCTGGCCGCGACCTCACAGTTATCTTACTTTGTGGATTATCTGAAATTTGTAGAGTTGGCTGGGACTTTCAGAATAAGAAAGGAAATGAGAGTGGGGGGAGGCAGGGAGGGGGAAGAGAGGGAGAGAGAAAGGGAAGGAGAGAGGGAGGGGAGACTTGTATCCGTGGCAGTGTTAACAGCAGAAAGCTCTAGAGTGGCACCTGAGGCCTGTATCCTGGGTCCACAGACGGGGAACTGAGGCTGTGGCTGCTGGCTCCGCATCAGCCCCAATCTTCTGCCCCTTCTCCCACCTGGAACGCTATACAAACTCCGTGTCCCTTTGGCACGCCCTTCCATGTCTTTAACATAATGCTCTTTCATTCACCTTCCGCTCTGGCTTTACTGACCAAACACGGACACGTCTTGTAAAACAAAATCTCCACTGGCCCCAGAGCAGCCACATAGCACTGTTATCTTTGGCCCTGGGTCTGGTTCTCTTCATATGACACAGTTTTACTGCACCTCACAAATCAGCAGTCCTGACCCATGATCTTGGGAAACTGGAAGGTTCACAGCCGATGAGAAGCGGTTACTCTTAAATAATACCACTGAACACTAGGAGCAAACAGTAGAAACACGAGTAGTAAAAACAAACTCCCCATTCCAAATAAATGAACTGTTTTTAGAATGCTAATGCTATTAAAACTAAATATTTCAAAACCCTATACCAAAGAATTATGTTAATTTGAAAAAAATACGCATTCCCAACCACCAATAAGAACTTGCTACTTTAAAAGTAAAAGTTGTAGCTAGCTTTTAGAAAGCTTCATATATAACGAAGATTACATGTGTCATCAGACTTCCTAACCTCCTCCGGGTCACTGTCCTCCTCACCAGGGAGACTTGACACCATGTCAAGGTCAGAGCAATCTTTGCAGACACTAAATTCCACATTTACTTTCTCTCAGGGGAAAGTTACTTCATTTACTCTAAGAAGTCTAACAGGGTAAAGACACACCTAAAAGAAATTAAGAATTAGGAAAACCTTAGGTTAATAGTAACAGAGATAGGAACAATTTACTGTTTTATTGACACTTGTTTATCTCCACTTCATTCATAATTTTGCTGATAAATTTCAAAATCTGAGTCAAAATACCAAATGGATACCCTAAAACATTTCTGCATGTCGCTGAGCTTCTATTTATCCTTGAGAATGCATCCTATCTTCTTCACTCTTCCAGGGATAAACTTTCGTGGTTTTTCTTTACTCCGGTCTTTCTGTGCATCCTTGCACTAAAAGCGTGCTACTTAGGCATCTACATATCTCTCCCCAGCTCAGACCGCAGCTCCTGGAGGTCTCCGACAATGCAGGACAGAGAGCAGCGCGTATAGTCAGTCAGTCTACCAGTGTCTACCAAAGACTTCATTACCAATAATGCTTGCCATGGTTAATATCAGTTCTGGCTTAACTAACCATGGACCAGATAGGCAGGAGTCTTCTGCCAAAGGACCCACGCTACCAGAGAGCAGGCAGCTGCTCCTCAGAAGCCTGTATAGTCTTCTAACATTGCTGAGAGTTGACTTTGTTATTCTTAGGTGTAAGTCTCAGTGACAGGGCTTTGCCACTCAGATGTGAGTTTCTAGAAAAGACATATTCCATTGACCTGGAGCTGGGCAGGCACCAATGTACTTATTTTATGTGTGTTTATGATCGCAACAGTTCTACCCATCATTCTTCTTGCCTGCCTACTACTCCCACTGGCAACTGGGAGACCAAGAACACAGTTCTCTTCCTTATACACAATCACTAGGATTGGGTGCAGCTAACAACTATGACACACACAGGCTTGTCACATGTGGTAACGATAACCTTGAGCTTACATACACCTAAGTTACCTTAATTATTCCAATAACCCTGAAATGCTGTTATCATCAATGAGTGTCAACAAAGGGGACTAAGTCCTGTCTCATAATAGAGTTTGTGATGCTTAAAGACGAACATAAAACAACATTTTTCTAGGTCAAAAATCGTTCTCCTCAAAAAAAAAGTCCCAAAGCACAGACTTCTTCATATTTGAGTCAGATGATTTAATCCAGCATTTGATGATGACAGTGCAGCTTTGCTGAGGCAGTTTAACTCAAAACCATCAGTAGATCACTGAAAAGCTGCTGAAGTTTGGCACAGAGGTTCTGTGCCACTAACGGGAGGAGCCAATCAGAGGCTCTGTAGCCACTAACGGGAGGAATCAATCAGAGGCTCTGTACGTCTGTCATTCTGACCTTTATCTACGTGAACACAGGAGATACTGAGTGTTCCTAAAGCCTTCCTGTTGAAAACAAGTCATGTTGGGTTCTGTTCTGAGAGAAGAACTAGGGGTTGTGTATGGAATGATTCCAACACCAGCTCACGGCCTAATTGCTTGCTTGCTTTTGGATCAAAATATAAAATAAATATAAGATGCCTTCTGGAATCAACATGATTATCCGAAATCATCTTGTGATTTTTTTTTAACAAAAATCAGCAATAGAAAAATAGATTGCAAAATGTCCACCAACACTGTGCAGCCATACTGCCCGCTCTCTGTGTGCTGAGGCAGGGAGAGGGAAGGACGCTTCTCTCAGAAAGCATGGAGGGGAATGTTCTGAAATATGGTTTTTCTCTGCCAAGATTTAGGCTTTTCTCCTAGCTAATTTGGCTCCCTCAAACAAAATACAGAAGATGGTGCAACTACAAGCCACAAAGGCAGCATATGAATGGAAGCAGCACACTATGCGAACGTATTGCCTTGTAATGCCAAGAATCTTGCATCTGTATGGCTGAGAACAAAACACAGTGGCTTCGTTTAGATTTTACTCCACGATAGCTGTGTACTAGCTGTAATGCGTCACTCTGTCTCACAGACTCCTCCTCCCCCAAGCACGCCAATATTATTCACTGAGTGAGCTCCAAGATCTGTACATTCCCATTAGATTCACAAAGTCCTATCCACAAGCCCCCTGACATCCTACAGTGGAAGTGCAGAGTCCTTCAGCTGGGTGCTGACAGAAAGGAGAATGGCTTGTGAGATGCCGAGAGGAACCGTCACAGGAGCTGTGATGCGTGGAAACCAAAATTAGGACGCCCAGTACTCAAAGTGAAGCACTGCCTTACTTGACATCTTCTGGAGTGTTCTGTAATTGACAGAATGCCAGGTTTTACACCAATTGTCTCCTTTAGCATTTCCATCCCTTCAGCATGAGCCGAGTACTGACTGAACAAACGGTAATTCTGGATTTAAGGCCAGAGGGATGGTTCATCGCTTGAGCTGGAGGAGGTGTGCACTCCTTAATCACTCGTTACAGTGTGCCAGCTCTGTGCAAGAGCCATAATAAAGAGCTAGGCTTCTCACCTGGAA